TTTTTGGTTGGTTAAATTCTAACGCTATTCTTTATTAATAGTGAATTGCTCTTTACTGAAGACATTCTTATTGTTCAGTTTATTAATAGTCTTATGTCAAAACATGCACTAACGATATATGTTCTGATTGACTTTAGTTATTGGTAATAGGCAATGCACAAACAAATACTATTTTAACTTGTTAGTTGATGTATAATTTGTTCATGAATGAAATATAATACCATACTTCTTATTATTTAAATATTAAGATTTATCAATTTAATTTATATGATGTATAAATTAATATGGTGTTGTTGGATTTCTAATTTGAAACAATACTATAAATTTGTTTTTTAATAAGAAAATTCAAAATAATACAACCACATGTGTCATTGTATGTAATTATCAATGTAGATTCAAATCATTTTATTCATAATTGAAGATGTTATTATGTTCTGATAAATCAATACATCTGATCAAATATAAAAAGATAAGAAATAAATATGACATCATTTTAAATTAACTAATGATAACATAGCAAAATAATAACAAATAGACTTCATTAAAATATTCTATTAATTTAGTTGTTATGGTTTAAAATTGATTGGATATTCCTTCTCTTACAATATAAATGTAAATAGAAATCGTGTAATTATTCTTTTAAACTCCCTTATTGTGAAATTATGACTCAATTGGTGTAAATGACTAACAATTAATAAATGAAGTTATGTTGATATAAACACTAAAAACTTTTCAACATATTTAAATTATTGGAAGAAATAACAAGATTTCAATAAACCAATACTTACTCTAATAACAATCCAATCGTTTGAATTGAAAATATTATTTTACTTTATTCTTTCCATAAATATTGCTCAGCCTCTTCATCAAGACATTCTTCTTCATTTTCATAATCTAACAATTCAAGTGCTTCTTCTTTTTTATTTTCTTTGAATAATCTTTTCATCTCCTTTGGTTTGTATTTGTTCTCTTTTAATGAGTCTTTGTACAAAACCTTTTGGTTATTGTCAACTTTTGTCATCTGAGAATCAGTAGAGATTGAAAGTGAATTATTAAAATAAATAATAGCAACTTCATCTTCATCAACAGGAATCTTTAGTACTCCAGACTTATTGTTTTTACTTCCATATCCAACAAGAAAATCATTAAAGATTAAATAGTCTTCTCCTTTTTTGATTTCAAGACTACATTCATTATCTACCATTATTTTTCTATCTCTCATTAATACTTTCAAAATGTGTTTTCTAACAAAATTTGTGTCTAATTCATTTAATTCTTTGCTTTTAAAAACATACACACAATGTTTTAACTCATGGTTATTACTATCATCATCATAAATCATTTCAAAATATCTTGTAACATGGCATTTTATTTTCTTTAAACCACCACTCATTTCTAGAAGAATATTTGGTTTAGTGTTATATACCATTGAAACATGTTTATAAAATATATTATTGTCTATATTTCTAATTAACTCGCGTACCTTCAAATAATGAGTATCCACATGTGCAACTAATTGATTAACAGTCATTTTTTCTTGTGTATCAAAAAGTATCTTCATTTCATAATCTCCAGATTCAAACCAATGTTTGAAACACCCAGAGCTAGATAAAAAATTGATAGTACAATTACACCATCTATTAATAATTATATATTCTTTAAGATCATATTTCCACCACATACCAACATTTCTGGGTTTTAAATCAAGATATTCAAAAGCACATTCAAGATGTAATGTTACTAAATTGCATGCTCCAATGAATTTATACTTTCCATTATATGAAACAAATTCTAAATTACCAATAAAATTATTCATATATATTGTTTGTATTTTAGATACTTCTTTAAGCTCATTATCAACTATTCTAATATCACATTTTAATGATATTGATGCAATTCTCCAATCTTTAGTATCTTTCATCAAAACAATACATTTTGGAGCATTAACTTTTAATTTCTCTAATCCATTTGGAAGTTTTAACAAAAATGTACATCCTTTGTGAATTGTTATTGATAATTTGGAAATTAGATAATTATTTAAGCACAATGACTTGCTATCTAAAATATCTGTTTCAATTCTAACTTTTTTTATTCTATTGATTAGACATTTGTTTAATCGAAATAGAATTGTTTCTTCTTCAAGAATATAATTATTAAATATCACAACTTCTTCACGTACAATAATATCTTTTTTT